CCTTGTGTCTTTGGTGTTCTTCATTCTCCTTTGCTCCAGGTGGGCTGGGACCAATTGATGCATCTTAGGTGGCTGCTCACTAGCTTTTAAGACCCCAGACACCACTCAATTAAAGGCCTTTTTAAAAAGTCTTTTTATTATGGAAAATATTAAACATGCACAAAGTAGAGCAAGTAGTTTAATTAACCCCCATGGGCCCTTCATCCAGTTTCAACAGTTATCAACCTCTGGCCAGTCCCGTTTTATCTGTACTCCCACTCACTTTCCCTCATGTGGTATTATTTTGAAACAAATCTCAGGTATCATTTTATCTATAAATATTTTGATAAGTGTCTTTCAACGATAAAGACTCTCATTTAAAATATATATATATATAACTACATACCAATATAACACCTAAAAAAATTTACCATTTCTTAATGTCATCAAATATTTCAGGGTACTTTTTTTTTTAATTGTACTTTAGATGAAGGTTTACAGAACAAACTAGCTTCTCATTAAACAATTAGTACACATACTGTTTTGTGACATTCATTGCTAACCCCATGACATATCAACACTCTCCCCTTCTCGACCTTGGGTTCCCTATTGCTGTCTTTCCTGTCTCCTCCTGCTTTCTCGTCCTTGCCCCTGGACTTGTGTGCCCATTTAGTCTCGTTTTGTTTTATGAGCCTGTCTAATCTTTGGCTGAAGGGTGAACCTTAGGAGTGACTTCAGTACTGAGTTAAAAGGGTGTCCAGGGGCCATACTCTTGGAGTTTCTCCAGTCTCTGTCAGACCAGTTAAGTCTGGTCTTTTTGTGTGTGTGTGTGAGTTAGAATTTTGTTCTACATTTTTCTCTGGCTCTGTCCAGGACCCTCTGTTGTGATCCCTGTCAGAGCAGTCAGTGGTGGTAGCCAGGCACCATCTAGTTGTGCTAAACTCAGTCTGGTGGAGGCTGTAGTACTTGTAGTCCATTAGTCATTTAGACTAATCTTTCCCTTGTGTCTTTGGTTTTCTTCGTACTCCCTTGCTCCAGTCAGGGTGAGACCAGTGAAGTATCGTGGAGTATCTTAGATGGCTGCTCACATATTTGAGGGTATTTTTAAACCCAACTTTCTATATCATTAAATCCCTCCAAAAGTAAGCACAAATATATATACAGTAGTCCCCTCTTATCTGCGGGGGATACGTTCCAAGACCCCCGTGGATGCCTGAAACTTCGGATAGTACCGAACCCTGTATATACTATGTTTTGTCCTATACATACATACCTATGATGAAGTTTAATTTATAAATTAGGTACAGTAAGAGATTAACAATAACTAATAATATAATAGAACAATTATAACAATATATTATAATAAAAGTTATGTAAACGGGGTCCCCGGCCAGGACTGAGCAGGACGGTGCAAGATTTCATCACGCTACTCATTTAACATTTTCAGACCGCAGTTGACTGAAGGTAACTGAAACTGAGGAAAGCAAAACCTCAGATGGTGGAGGGGAGAGCTACTGTGTTTTTATCATAACATCAGATTCTGAACAACAGCCGTCCAGTTCCTTAGAGATACCAAGATGTCTATAAATTAGGACCTGCATCTACTTGGATTTAGTTGTCAATAGGCTGAAATAAAATTGTGTGTGCATCATCAGGTCAACTTCAGAATACTTCAGGAAGAGAATTGATTTTTCCCACCTATCAGCAAGGGATCTAGGTAAATAAGCCTTATGGTTGTAAGTGCTTCTTGTAAATGGCCTGGCTGTGATTGGTTTCTGCTTGTTAGAGCTGGTTTGTAAACTGTACTCCCTTTCCTGTTGGGGAAGATCAGTAACCTGTGATGCTATCAGGCAAGTAATAGGGTGGTTTCTTCTGTCGTATCTTCTGGCTGTCCTTTTGTCTAACGCTGTAGCAAAGACAGCCGCTTTGATCCTGGCTCATTGTCTATATATTGAGCACCTATGCTAGTTAGTTACATTGATTTTATAAGCACCAGGCCTTCACTAGGAAAATTCTGCTGTGTCCTCTGAGTATCATAAGTAGAGGGCTGGGTCAGCACTGAAGACATTCTAGCAGCCAAATCATTCTAGTAATCTGCTCTCACCCTTTTATAGGACATGAAATATGTGAACTAACAGGGTAGTAGGGGAGCATCTGAAGCAACGTCCTCCCAGAGCTAATGTTCTAGTGAGGAATTCAGATAAGAAATGCAAGTAAATACAGAAGACAATTGCAGATTGTAGTAAGAGCTACAGAGGAAAAAAAAAGTGATATGCTGGTATCTTTTTTGATAGAGTAGACAGGTCTCTGAGGAGATGTATTTAAGCTAGATTTGCATAATGAGAGAAGGCAGCCATGGAAAAAAACAGCAGAAGACTCTTCCAGGCATAGAGAAAGCATGTGCAAAGGACCCGAAGCAGGAACCAGTGTGGCATGTTTGAGAAAGCTAAAGGAAGTCAGTATGGCCCGTGGCTATGTGTAGCAACTTGAGAGGAGAATAGTAGAGATGGTGGCAGGGAGCTAGCAGGCAAGTGTTTGGAATTACTTTTAGTTGCATAAGTGTAATACCATAAGAAGAAAATTTAGGGAAGGCCCAGATATTCTCTGTAGAAAGTGCTGGGCAGCCCTGAAATGTTCCTGACACTGGACTAGAAGGATCCCTGGGATATGCCTGGACCTTCTTCACAAGATCTAGGTGGGTGACCTCTGAGCTCAGAGGGAGAGTGAGCTGCTTGCTGATGAAACAGGTAAATATTGAGGTGCATACCTGTGTGGTATAATACCACCCCATTGGCACTTAAAATGCCAGGATGTAGATGACGAGCAATCATCGCTCCCCCCTAGGAAGGATATGAGGCAGCAAAGAAAAATAACTTTTGGCCAGCCAGAAAAGCCAGGCTGCATGATGTGGAATCAGAACCACTCTTGCTTATTGTGGGTCACTTTTTGTCTATTAACTTAAACTCTGTGTTGAGCTATATTGATTCATACCTCATTGGCACAAATGGTTAAGAGCTTTACTACTATTCAAAATTCATCCAGAGGTGCTTCGGAAGACAGGCCTGGCAATCTGCTTCTGAAAGGTCACAACCTTGAAAACTCTGTGGGGCAGTTCTACTCTGCACACGTAGGGTTGCCACAAGTCAGAATCGACTTAATGACAACCACCACCAACAGCAACATGCTGAGCCAGGAATCTGCTATGTCCCAGATGCGGACAGTTCACAAACTCATTCCTTGAAATTCTGAAGTCCTGGATGGATGCCAGGGGAAACTCAGGGTTGCGGGGAGAGGGCAATGGATCCCCTTCCTATCTTGAGGAAGTTCTTGATAAACACCCAAGGCCTTAGCTGACAACCTGCCAGAAGTTCAAAGCTTTTTAATTTGAAAACTGACTTGGACAGAGGTCAGGTCTCTGTAAAAGATCTTATCGGAGAGTGGACACAAGTCCTGAGTTTGAAGTCCAGGCTCTGGAAGACTTAACAAGCACTGCTGGTTTAAGTTTGGTTATGATTCAGTGCTACATTAATCCAAATTCACATTTTTTTTTTTTCTTCCTTAACTTAAAATATTATACTGTTAAAGATGAATACAGGAAGTAACAAATGCATGTCCATCAAAAGTTATGTTGAATGAGGAAGCATGCAGTTGTGTGTCAAAGGATTGTAAAGTGCTATTTTCCCCCAGTCTTATATATTAATATATTTTATATGAGTCTAAATTGACTCATGACAATGGGTCGTTTACTTAACACATTTAAAAATATTTCTTGAGGTGTTCCCAGTTTTGAGAAGCTCTAAGTACCTTATAGTCTTCTTTTTCTTTTAAGTATTCCAAATAAGATTATGAGCTGCCTCAATTCCTTTCTGAACAAGCCACAGTACAAACAAACAAAATTTATGACTCTGTAAAGCTAAGGACAAGCAGTGTATATGAGGACCCGAGTCTCCAGGGATGGGGGTTTTGCCTAAGGTGCCACATCAGAAATACAGTGAGAAAGAAGTAGAGTTTCTGTTCCTAATTCATCGATTACGACGTAAAGGAGCTGTGAACACACCACCCGCTCCACTCGTGCCTTGCGAGCTGGGAGCCATGTGCATCTTGAAGTTGTGGCTTTGGATCTCTGTCTCCGGGGATCTAAGGACTGGTTAGGCCCTCCATTTAACAAGATTACTGATTTTTTAAGGTTTGTTTCAGGTAAATTATTTTAGTCTTACTTTTTCCTTTTCATGGTGAATTCAGGGGTTTAATTTCGATTGACAGA